GCGATCATGTAGTCTTGTTAGTGACTAAGGCTGACATATTCCTTAAGACGTTAATCCACACCAGAGAGTATCGCATCCACAGTGAATGACTATAAATATCCACAATTCGTGACCTCCTAGGAGGATTACAGGACGACGCCACCGTCCCAGTCCTGTATATTTATATTTTATATTTAACGCTTTTTTAATATAAAACAACTCTGTTTAAAAAAACTTGTAGTAATTTTATACGTGCACTTTTTCCAATCACTTATTTCAATACGCATTTTCTGATAATTTGTTCCTTATAATACTGGAATGAATGTTTATCTTTTAAGATTTTTGAAAAATATTCGCCTTCATTTCTTTACACTCATATATAGAGTCTTTAGAGAACTAAAACTAGTATTACATTGTACTGCGTAATATGGCTTTCTAATATCATAAACCAGAATGAGCTTATTTTGGAACTTTTTGAAAACTATGCAAGTTGCAGCACACGCTAATTGGCTACAGATTTAATTGGACCGTTTTCACATGAGTTTTTAGAATTGCTTTCTCAAAAGACGTTGTTGTTTGTTATACAAATGTTTGTTTTTGTCATCAGTGTTCATGGATTACATTGTTGCGAGAGTAAAACACCCAAAATATGTTTTTTTAAAGCTCAGTGGTTTTAAGCCCTTTCCAAAAATCATTTTAGTCATTACAAAAAATCCAGTGTCGTCTTATATAAATTTACTAAGTATAAACTCGGGCTCTTCCTGTGAAAGTTATACAGTTAACCATGAAAAAAGAAGACACAGAATGCGTGAATATGTTGTATGAAATAAAAAAAAGGTCTGTAAGAGCAATTTATTGAGTTGAAATTAGTTTAACTTATTACATAGGTGTGCTGCCAACATGTTGTACGGTTTTCAATTAAATTTATTTGTGAATGACAATTTTCGTGAGCAAGACCAATAATTGAAACACTATTTTTCCTGATTTTAAAACAGTACATCAAACTAATTTAGATTCTCCCATTTTTTCAAAAATGTAAAAAAAACTAACTAATAAAATAGTGGCTCCAAACACGGAAGTATTATGTGCAACAGGCAGTTTGAACGCTTACCTATTGTTCTCTAAAGTGCAGTGTAAGAAGGGCCTGAAATAGAACCCCCACAATGCTAAGTGAGGCGTGTGTTGATGCTGAGTTTGAGGGGGACGCCTGCTGAGTCAAGACACCTTTACTCAACACCTCCACCTCACACGTTGAGCTGCTGGCCACCTACTGTGCTGAACATTCTGTTACGTGGTAGTCTTCTAAGTCACATGTGTGCCATATGAGATGGTAAACTGGTGTGTTGATGCTGAGTTTGAGGGGGACGCCTGCTGAGTCAAGACACCTCAACTCAACACCTCTACCTCACACGTTGAGCTGCTGACCACCTACTGTACTGAACATTCTGTTACTTGGTAGTCTTCTAAGTCACATGTGTGCCATATGAGATGGTAAACTGTTGTGTTGATGCTGAGTTTGAGGGGGACGCCTGCTGAGTCAAGACACCTCTACCTCACACGTTGAGTTGCTGAACACCTACTGTACTGAACATTCTGTTACGTGGTAGTCTTCTAAGCCACATGTGTGCCATATGAGATGGTAAACTGTTGTGTTGATGATGAGTTTGAGGGGGACGCCTGCTGAGTCAAGACACCTCAACTCAACACCTCTACCTCACACGTTGAGCTGCTGACCACCTACTGTACTGAACATTCTGTTGCTTGGTAGTCTTCTTAGTCACATGTGTGCCATATGAGATGGTAAACTGTTGTGTTGATGCTGAGTTTGAGGGGGACGCCTGCTGAGTCAAGACACCTCAACTCAACACCTCTACCTCACACGTTGAGTTGCTGACCACTTACTGTACTGAACATTCTGTTACTTAGTAGTCTTCTAAGTCACATGTGTGCCATAAGAGATGGTAAACTGTTGTGTTGATGCTGAGTTTGAGGGGGACGCCTGCTGAGTCAAGACACCTCAACTCAACACCTCTACCTCACACGTTGAGCTGCTGACCACCTACTGTACTGAACATTCTGTGTCTTGGTAGTCTTCTAAGTCACATGTGTGCCATATGAGATGGTATACTGTTGTGTTGATGCTGAGTTTGAGGGGGACGCCTGCTGAGTCAAGACACCTCAATTCGACACCTCTACCTCACACGTTGAGCTGCTGACCACCTACTGTACTATACATTCTGTTGCTTGGTAATCTTATAAGTCACATGTGTGCCATATGAGATAGTATACTGTTGTGTTGATGCTGAGTTTGAGGGGGACGCCTGCTGAGTCAAGACACCTCAACTCAACACCTCTACCTCACACGTTGAGCTGCTGACCACCTACTGTACTGAACATTCTATTGCGTGGTAGTCTTCAAGTCACATGTGTGCCATATGATATGGTAAACTGGTAAAGCTGTTGACTACGCCTTTTACGTACTACTGGTATACTACCGAGATAAAGTGTTATGGGAACTAGTTTTTGTGCTAGACTATCAACAAGACTTTTGCTCTAATACTAATTGTTCTGAGCTGCTTTGTAGGGGTGCGTTAGTGGTTGGAGCTTATCGTAAATTCTTCAGCCAAAAAGGCCATATATTTTTAAAATTAAACAGTATGAGTCTCGGTTTGAGTACTTTCTTTGTGTTCTTTAACCCAACACATTCTACAGCACAAAAAGTGCTCTCTTTTGTGAGGATATTAAAAGCTGAATAAATCCTTGACGAATAACAATCTTTAATAGTGATCGCTAGATCTGAATTAGTTCAGTTATGCAATTTATATAGGCTATTACTGCTTAATCAGTGGCTTTTGGTTGACAAAGTTAACAAAATAACCACTTGGCTGAACTATACACAAAAAAGAACGACATGAAATTTGAATAACATCACAGAACCTTTTAGGAGTTCTTATAACAAAAGCATACTTCTGAAATGACCTCTCAGTCCAACTTAACCAACTCCAGTTTCAATCTTTATGGTAATCACTCGCCGCACATTACAATAGCAATTGACCACACAGCATGAGACGGTGGCAGCGGTTATGGCTGTTTACGGCAACTAGAAACTTTCGCTAGTTCTTTAATTAGAAGAGAAATCATGGTAAAGATTTATGTCTTTACGATTGTATTGCCGCAAACTTTCTCCTCGTCACGAATACGATGCAACGACTGCGTGCGGCGTGCATGGCTAATCTGGGGTGCATTACTTGGGGACCGAGCTTTGCTGAGGAAGTTGTCTCCGCTTCACGCATGACTGGTGAAAAAGCTAGTGAAAAATCCACCAAAAATAATGGAACTATAGGCATTTGAGAAAAATAAAAGCTCAGTGTTTAAGGTCTTAACCAGCTAAGACTTTATCACTATTTTTAAAACACGATAATAATGATAAGACTAATTTGTGAAATGATTTCACTGATTGTAAAGCAGCCAATTACTAACCATCAATAGTTTTAGACTACCAAATTGCACATGTAACATGAATACATTTGCCTACCGATCGGCGTATTTGTATGTTATCACCATCAACGGTTGGAAACCATCATTGCGACATAAAGTGCATGCTGTACAATATGTTGCCGGGTGTGTAGATTGTAATATTACAAATGCCGGATTAATTCAACATTGTACTACGTATTATAACCGTGGGATGATTAAGCCCCGGTACAAAAGTAGTCAGTTATATATCGGTTACTAATATCTAATTTGTGTGGCGTTAGATACAAATAGATTATAATGGTGAGGAATAATTATATAAAAATGCACCTCATTTTGACTTTGATTGTATAACAATCTTTCAAGTTAAGAAGTGTTTGCAAGAGTGAAACTTTTAACGAACCAAAAAACCTGTACAACAACAAAATAATTCAGTTTCAAATCAGGTCAAATATTTCTAAAATACTAGATCTTAGCGCAATATTGAATTTATAAGCATTACATTTCTGCGAATTAGTATTAGTTTCATGTTTTTAGTTTTAGTTTCACTTAAGTCGTTCTAAAGCCAGTACGCTTGACGAGGGCTTGTACATAAAGACGTTTTATTTTTGTTTATTCAGGATTCAAAAATATATTTTGTCTTAAGCAATACATATTTTTTCCATTGGACAATATAATCCTGAAACTTAATTCTTTATTCTTTACTCATATAACTTTAGAAACCTTTATAATTAAAAGGCAACTGGGTCAAAAATTAGCACTAATTTTTATTGTTCTGATTTCACTAAAATAATAAAAGATCAAAAAAATATCTTTGCCATGAAATTATAGATAGTTTTGCTACCCTTTTTTCATCAAGACAAAGAATTTCTTTCCCTGCTTGAAAAACTTATATTTTTTTGTTTATTACCAAACGATTCCTGATTTCCTGCAATCAACACTCCCCTTTTCCGATCACCTGCAATCACTTCTGTCTTTGACAGTCCGACTTTTTCCCTCGTTTTTCATTCCTTGGCGTCGGGACAATACGCCTGGATTTTTCCCGCCCGATTTGCATATTGCTATCAGGAGAATTACGTTAGCGAGTTGAGAATGATTAAGAGGCCAGATAAACTCCTCCAGTAAGTTATTACGGAGGCCATTCTTTAGCCTCCACGACGTCCTTTCGCTTGTTAATCCGCCATATTGAATAAATGCGACATACTCGGAAAGAGGATGAATTTTTATGCGCAAATGTAACAGCGAGTTAATTTATTCCTCTAGACAACTGGCTCCAAACGATGCAACTTGTGCTTGACTTTGTTTCATTAGCGTCGAGAATAGTTTTGAGTAGAGTTTTTACTGGCTTATAGAAAATTGTATTTTTTGTTGAGTCTTTCTATGTCTACTTTTTAAATGAAAAATTATGTTAACAATTTATTGTGAAAAATTCTTGGTGAAAAAATGATATTTTTGTTATGAACGTATCAATCACCATATGATTTGTTCGTTTACTCGTCTTCCTTTTTAAGCTCTTAATTTATGTAAATTTTCTTCTATTTTTCACCTTCATTTTTAGTTCTATTAGAACCCATACTGAAACTCCTGTTTCTCCTCCCACAATAGCTGTTTTATCATAATAGGTAAATATTTTTCCTCTTTTAACTCTTCAGAATAATATACAACAGTAGGTTTCAATATGTCTTCTTTCAGAAGTATTTGACTTCCAAATAGTGATCCGTGCATTGTTAAACTTTATATTTCCCGACACTATAATCAGGTATTGGCATAAATATCATTTTAAATCATTATCACATTAATTTTTAATCGGATATGTACCGAATACATTTTTCATTGTTACGTCGTTCTTTTTTGTGAAGTTAGTTCAGAAAATTTAAAAGTATGTTTATACGTAAGTTTAAGTCTGTATTCAAATCCAACAATGAGAAATTTTTTATTTGGGTCTTTCACATGTGGATGCGTTGAGCAAAATTATTGGTTTAATGGAGTAGCCTTTCCTTGATAGCCGATGAAGCGTGCAACGGCTGTAAGTCATATTTTATAGGATATTCTAAACGTTATGGTTTATACTTAATGTAACAATGCATGACTTGGACGAGGACAAAAAATAGATTTTTTTCAAAGGATTACCTTAGTGCTGAAATAGTTATTTGTGTAATTAGTGGGCATTTTGCACTCCTGTTACACATTATATATTTCCTACAGTTATTATAAATCATAGAAATAATTAGTCTTTCAAACGCTAAACAACACGTTTTAGGTTAGGTTAAATCCAAGAGCTGTGCAAAATGGTTAACACTGTAACAGCTGATGGTAGTAGTAGTAGTATCTTCAGTGTTGCCAACCTATTTCCAAGCGTACACGGATTACATGCATAATAAAAGCACGCTTTTTTTTGTTGTTTGATTGGAATACTGGTGTGCGCCAACGTAAAACTGTGCAACAAAGTAAAAAGGTTGCAGGAAAGTAAGTAAATGCAGCAATTGGCAGTTTTCTGTACAATCAGTGCAAAGAAGCCCACTCTGTCGGGTGACTGTAGGAAAATAAATTTGATCAACGATTACATATGGTGGATTGTGAATTAGTCGGTAAGTAGGCCATAGTGCTTCCATAGTTGTCCAGATTTGACAAGGCTAATCGCAAGAAATTTGAAAAGATGTCTAAAAACCTCTAAAACAAACGTAAATAACTACCAGAGAGATTTCTCTGACAAATAAGCCAGTTTTATTCTGTAACAAGGTTACAATGTAGTTTTTATACTTATCAGTTAAACGCCACGTAAATAATATTTACTTATTGCGCACGATGGATTTTCGAAGATGTATTTCTTTCCTGTTTGATTCCGAACTATAGGATAAGTCAAAATTGAACATACAGGCACACTAGTTTTGTTTCAATGATCAACGTAAAAATTTAACTCGTATGTATAAAATAATGTTATTAATTCAGTACACAACCACTGATTGCGTATGTTGCATACAAACGTGGGCCTGACGTCTGAGGACTCCTTACGAGGAAGTATCACTATTCCATGGGAATATTCAGTTAAACTGTTAGTGGTCCAAAATATAGGTTATTATGAAGGTGGTAATAGCTATTTCGTATAGGAAAGCTTGCTGGAAGTAAAGTGAACTCGGACCAATGCGGCCATAGCTACTCTGCTATACTGTACAGAAATTCTCTAAAAATTACAATACATAGTTATGATACAAGTTTTTAAGGATTTCTGTCATAGTGATGATCAATAATTGTTTTTAAACCTGGCTAAAGGAAAATTTATTTTTAAGTTATAGCAGTTCAACCAATGACAAAACAAAATTATACACCGAATAGAAACAAACTGACATCACAAGTTCAACAACTCGTTTGCTAGTTGTAAAAAGCAAGCAATATCTTTACCGCGAATCATAACCCACTTTTAATATCGTTTGATGTTCCAACTTTCATATTTCCCTCCAAAACCCTCTCACCGGATGTAATGCAGTTGTGCATCGCCGCTTGGCAACCACTGCGAACCGATCCATCTTTCGCCAGTTAGTAATGGGATTCTTTATCAACTTCGTACTTGGAATCAGAACCGAGGCTATTTCTATCGTTATTTACAACGACATAAAGAGGTGTAAAAAGGGTCATTGACTGCTGTGACTGGGGGAGGGAGGGCTCTATTTCGGGTCCTCTGTTTACATAAGAAATGCATCTTGTGCATCTCGACCCCGTTTGGGCGGCGAACCTTTGTGAGGGGCCTTAACGACTCCGCGCCGTTTCGACTTCTGACCCACTTACGACGGAAATAGGATGCGGTTCGCGGGAAAATATTCTTTGTTACAATGTTGTGTTAAGTATCAGTAGGTCTATTCGCAAACCAATCTTTGGTTTATAGTGTTAAGAATCAAGATCGGTTTGTAATCAAAGATCACACTACAAATGGGTAAAATGTAGTTCTTCAGTATTTTCAGGGTATTGTTTTGTTTCTTGTAGATTTTGGCAAATAAAAGTAAACAAACATTGTTCATAGTAGGGCTTGCATTTTGCTTCAGCCGTCATGTAAAACTTTACATGTTATGTAACACACAATAATTTACACAATGTGATTTTAAAACACATCCTCGGTTGCCAAACAAAATTGGCATGATATAAATATATTTTTTTATGTTATAATAGCAATTTTAGTAATTGATCTTGATTACCCAAACCTGTGCTTTACACCTCCTGTGTACTCGAACTATGTTTTTGGCTACGGATTTTAGGTCATCATTTAATTAGTTTTTGTTTTGTACGACCAAAATGTTTCAGCCAAATGCAGTTAATAGGACCATTGGGATGTTGCAAGTAGAAATATTTTTTACTGAGTCCTGTTGTGAAATCTGGAGCTTGTTTTATATTTTTATTCCGGTTAAGCTTGAGTATAGCGAAATGAACTGAATTTTTATAAAACAAATTTTTGAAGGCGATTCAATCATTGAGATACTTTTGTTCTTTGGTTAAAAATTATAATAGCACAGAATAAGAAGTTAACATTAAAATCCAATTAGTATCAAGTAATAGTTGAAAATCTAATAAACTTTCAAATCCTTGAACTCGTCCATATATTTACATAAATTGAAATTGCCTACAGCTGATCCATAGAAAGATACCGTAAAGATAATGGAGTAGGTTTAATCGAAGGTAGAAAATAATAATAATAATATAATCAATAAAAAAACGATTGGACGACTTTTGACTAAAGGTTGTTGATGGTTACCAATACATAAGTAAATAGCAGAAAGTTATAGAAAATTAACATAATTTGAAAAAAACATGCAACAATGCATAGGTTCACAAAAAAATTTAAAAAAACAGCTAAAATTAAATAGTGTCCAATATTAAGTCCAGTCATTCTTAAGCTTCACTGAGTTGTTTAAAGGTCGTTGTTTTTATAATATGAACAAAGTCAAAACTACACAGTGTATTCTGAAATTAATCATGAAGAACAATTTGTATTACTTTAGTAGTCAGACACTAGCACATGTACTAACTTATTTGTTAATGTATACTTGCAGTGCAGGCAAGCTCTGTTTGTCTTCTTTTTCTTAAGTTTTGCAAACACAACAAATAATAATTTATAATTAGCCTTGGCTACCAACAAAATAAAAAATTTCAATTTTTAATCCCTAAAAATTAATTTGTCTACTTTTTCATGTTTTTTAAAGTTTTATCTCAATTTTCCTGTTTTTTTTCGTCGTGCTCACTTCAGTCCCAGTTAATTCTCGTTTTTGCCAGCTTACTCGCCTGGATTACTAGCCAATACACGCCATGAGTCAGCCTCTATCATAGTGCAGCCATGTTAGTTTACTGCGCGCATGCGGACGGCCCAACTATTGCCGATCTATATTTCCTTTCGCCATTTCACTAGGGCTAGAGCTGCACTATTATTTTATCCGATATTCAACTATTCCTGCGGCCATTTTTCACCCCCGTGCAGCCTGTATTGATCCTATGAATTATACAGATGCTAACGAATTGGTAAAGCTACCAGCCATGAATGTTCCATGTTCTATTGTTTTGTCTATGTTTGTACAAATAGTAAAATAAAACGGTTAATTAAGTTTGGGCGTGGGTGGGTTTGTTTGTTTCACGTTTTTATAACTAAATTATTCCCTATTTGATTGGAGGGATGAGAGGCTTTTTTACTTTTCTGATTGGGCGTTTTTCTGATCAAAAATATAGGGGTTCTTCGTCTCATGTACGCTAACCCCTTTTGTTGTGATCATATCTTGATCATAATCTTTGTTATACATCATACAATATTGGTGTTGATTTAGATTTATGTATCAATTTTGTGTCAGGGATCTGAGGGATGAAACTTAGCTTAAAGACTTTATTTTGGTTTATTAAGTTAGCGGTTAGAAGATGTCAGTTTTTGATACTTGGCGAAGGAAATCATTCATCATTGAGAGACTCCAATTGGGCAAATTGGTGTTTAAACCAATCCATACTGAATCAATTAATTTGTTTAAACGTTTTAGTTTTTTAAACTGGCTTTATAATACATAATTGTACCTAGAGTTTTCCTTCAAGCTTCGTACAATTCTATACAGTGTATTAACATTCTTCATTGTCTAAAGTTGAGGTATGAAGAAATTTAAACGCGACAAATATATTTTTATTGATTTCATTAGTTTCATCTGTATAACCTAGAGCACACATCTAAAGTAAAATACTAACTTATTCTTTTTAATTTTGTAGGCAAATGATGTTAGAATTGTTGTAAGCTACACCCTACACCAATAGCAAACAGAAAAAAAACTGTTGAAAATAGAACTAATACTCTAATCAGAATGAAACACAAAAGTAAACAGACTTGCACAGGAAATTATTTGCTTAAAATAAGACATTTTTGTACTTTGTTTTACTTAAAAGTGAGAGTACCATTATACTAGCTGACGTTTGTAAGTGTGAAAGCACGTTCACAAACATACTCAGTAACAGTTTGTATCCGTTTTTGTAAATCAACAGAACACAACTTTAAGTTTTCAATAAATCTGTTAAACATTGAAACAATTTTTGAATTTCACAATGG